TACTATTTCTTATATCTGTTCAAACACACATTAATTCCATGATTATACCATTACCAACTAGAAATATAAGGAAGAATATGATTATACCATTACCAACTAGAAATATAAGGAAACATTTCTTCCTTTTATGACACTACTATTAAGGAAACATCTTAATAGTGTATCAAGTAGGGTTACTAAGGAATTCAAATGGTTAAAATTTAAAATGTCATATAGAGCCCTAGTTTTTTTTTGTTTCATCTTGTAGAGTTTTAGGATGATATTTATCAGAAATTCAACAAATGCTAATGAAAGAATAATTGATTTTAATAAGCAAAAACAACACAATGCAAAGTGTAAAAAACAAAAAACAAGGCAGTGCTAATTTTAGTAAGCAGAGACAATACAGTAGTAATAAGACTCAAAAAACAAAAGCAAAAATTGAGACGACATAACTAAGAAAAGCCATAAAAGAGAGGAACAGACAATGTAAGAGCTCATATACCAAATCTTATTAAGAGATGTGCACAACATTGTGTTGATTTTCCTTTCACAAAAGCAGTTGCAGCTACTGTGTACATATAGGTATATATCTATATATTTCTTAAACTGTTATAGAAATTGAAGAAACACCATGTGTGGAAAAAAAATTGAGCGGATAGAGTCCTACAGATTACAATAGAACTTAATAACTGTTTAAGTGTAATGTAATGTAACAAGTTTCACAAAAGTATCATACAAATCAAGTCAACTTATGACATTCAAGAAGAAGTTAAACCAGTGTTACATTGTGAAATGAATATCTAGAAGGAACTTAATATGCAGTTATCCATCACATTGTTTCTTTTTTAGGAATGACTTAACATTTTCCCCTCCAAATTAACAATATATTAAAATTGATTAGAATGTATGAAAGAATTATCACAGACAAAGACAATGACAGTATTTGTTAAAAGGACAACATGCCTAAATTTCACATTCCTTTCAATCCCATTTGATAAGAAATTTTATTTAAGTTTTCTTCTTACTGCCAGAAGGTCCTTTTTATTGAGTCGATTTTGTTGATTTCTTCCTTCTGAGTGAGATGTTGGTATTATATCTATAACATATATTCACGCTAATTTAACAGAAAGCCTAAATAAATTAAACTCTCTAATAGTCTCCTTCTACTATTCTTAATTTATCCATAAAAAAATTAAGCTCTTCGATAATTTTATGACAACAAGAGCAAAGATGATAAAGTAAAAATGACAAAATGAATTCATGTATCCACCCAACAAGAAAAACTATCGGTGCAATATCTAGAACCGCCTTAACATGATATGATAACAAAATAATAAAATTAATGTTTTAGGTATATTATTTTCTCCGTTACCCCCTTATTTGATTTCAGTTGTAGCCGATTGATTTACATATTCACACATAAAACTTAAAAAAAAAAGAAATAAGAAAGGATTGATTTATTAGAAAATTTAAATCAGTCTGCTTCAGCATCAGAATCTGAGAACGAGATTAAAAAAAAGAAGAAAAAATCAACTATCTTCCTTTTACCTCTTTGATCACTGCAATTCGCAAATCCAATCAAAGATCAAAACTTTGAAAATTATCCACGACTCTATATATAAATCGTAATCAAAAGCTTTAAATATTGAAAAGGGTAAAAGAAAAATTGAATGCAAAAACAATTAACCAATATATGTATGCCCCAAAATTGCAGGAACAATTAGAAAAGAAGCTTGAAAAGTTAGATCAAGTGATAATTAATGTGACACACCTCGACTAAAGAATTGCTCCTTTGCGAATAGTTCCTCACCCCCTCTGATTTTGATTGAAGATTACAGGGATATGGAAGAACGATAATGGAGAATGGAAATACCTAAAAGAGAGTAAAAAGAAAAAAAGTAGTTAAGGACAGGTGATTTAATCGAGGACAAGTGATTTGTTGAAAACACGAAATAGTTTACACAAGAAAGACCTAGAAGAGAGTAGAAAGAAAAAGATGGTCTAAGATAGGCGATTTGCTGAAAACAAGAAATAGTGTACATATATTGTGCGTTTTAGAGAAATATTTTTTTACTTGCGGCAAAAATTTTTTAAATAACATTTTTATTTCTTTTATATTCTATTAGTTATGGACACGTGCATTGCACGTGTATTCCTATCAAGTATTTCAAACCTTCTAAAAGCACATGAATATTAGTACAACATATATGTGTAAGTGTTTCCAATTTGAAAGTGAAAATATAATTTTCCATATGAAAATATATGTTGCAATAATATAAAACAATGGGATAATGCACAAGTACTCCCTCAATAAATGTCCGAAATTTTAGAGACACACTTAACTATGCTAAGGTCCTATTATCTCCCTGAACTTGTTTTATTAATAATTTTTTATCCCTTTTCGGACTACGTGACACTCTCTTGTGGGCCCAATGCTGATTGACACATTTTTTCAAGTCAATGCCACGTAGGCCAAAAAGGGATAGAAAATTATTTATAAAATAAGTTCAGGAGGGTAATAGGACCTTATAAGTGTGTCGTTGAAATTTTAAGCATATATTGAGAGAATACTTGTGCATTTTTCCTAAAACAATTGCAAAAGATGGTACAATGTTATTATTGAACAATATACTTCAAATAAAGTATTGAATTATCTTGCTGAGTTATATTACTAAAATCTAAACAAAATGAAACTTAATTACTACATTTTTATAATATTACAACCAGAATGTCCAAAAGCAAAATTTTTGCATCACACCAACCATTTGAGAACACTGCAAAAAATACCATTAATATAAATTGCTCATATTTAAGAAAATTATTGGGCTTAGTGTCGCACAAATATAAATGAAACTCTTGTTTTTATTTGAAAATGAAGTTGTTAATCTCATTCATATAAATCGTAAAAAAAGAGGGTGAAAATGAACAATATATGTATTTGTTTGCAACAATATATTAGATAGACGATTAAGTAACACGATTAAAATCTTTCAATCAAAGTAACAATGTTTTAGCAATCTTTATTTAAATTAATTTAAATTTAGACAACTGACAATATAGATATTTGAGCATACTGTATAAATTATTCAAGTATTATCAAACTCATCATACATTAATAAATTTTTTGTCGATTAAGTAACACTTACAAGTACAATAACATAATGATAAATAAAATTAAATCCGCACAACAATACAAAATGATAGAAGAATTACATAAAAATATGAACTACATAAGACATTTTATTTAGACAACCATATTTTGACTCCAAAATAAAAAAGCAAACATAAAATTATGAGCTAATAAACAAAAATCTCAAGGAAAAGGTCATCTCTTCTATAATTCTAAGTTCTAAGTTAAACTATTGTAATGCAAGAATTATTTTTTCATGATTTCATCTCTTATATTTCTAACTTCAACTAATCTATCGTAAGAAAGCTGACTTCAGAATGATGTCATATTTTCTTCTCCTCATTTAGCTTCATGACGATATGTTATATCATTATCTAGAAAGAAGATTAGAAAATCGTAGATGACTAAAAAAAGACTATGATGGTCTAGGGACAAGCGAATTGTGGCTATACTTTATAGATAGTTATAGTGATATTTAACAGTCTTTTCACCTAAAAATTCAATAATGAGACACATTGAATCATGACACACAAATTTTATATTTAATTACAAAATTCAACGAGTCACCAAATTGGAAGAGTCTACAAAAATTTTATATTTAATTACAAAATTCAACGAGTCACCAAATTGGAAGAGTCTCAACACATTGAATCATGACACAAAAATTTATTTCTTATTTCAAAATTCAAAGAGTCGGTGAATTGTAAGAGTAATATACATTATTTAGTCTTCTACTTTATTTAAATTAATTAATCTAATAAATTATAATTACAATGTCATAACATAAGAATTCAAGTATATTTGTCGGGCTTCATATATATCACAATGTATTTAAAATAATAATATTTAATAAATTCAGTAACCATATGATATATGATATATAGATTATTGCAAGTAAATTGAAGGAGAAAAATAAAACTAAAAATAAAAACAATTTTGTAAAAAGTGGAACTAATTTATTTTTTAAAAAGATGAAAATGTCCAACAATTTTCTTTGATTTTTGACTCGAGACCTTTCCAGTTTTAGAATCTAGTGTATTATTATTATTATTATTGTTATTATTATTATTGTTATTATTGTTATTATTATTATTATTATTGTTATTATTGTTATTATTATTATTATTATTATTATTGTTGTTGTTATTATTATTATTATTATTATTATTATTATTATTTTTATTTTTATTTTTATTTTTATTATTATTATTATTGTTATTATTATTATTATTATTGTTGTTGTTATTGTTATTATTATTGTTATTATTATTATTGTTATTGTTATTGTTATTGTTATTATTATTATTATTATTGTTATTATTATTATTATTTTTATTTTTATTATTATTATTATTATTGTTATTATTGTTATTATTATTATTATTATTATTATTGTTATTATTATTATTATTATTGTTATTATTATTATTATTATTATTATTGTTGTTGTTGTTATTATTATTGTTATTATTATTATT